GAATGTCACATCCTATCTGCAGCCTGTCCCCGAGGCACAAATGGACACTCCATCCACTTGTCAGGTGATTAATCTCCGCTCCCCTCTCTCCCTCATCTCCTCTCCATCTCGTATTCACTCTGTACACACAGCTTCGTCAGCCATTCAGAGGACCGTCACACACACAAACACAGACATGCACTTACCCGTACTACACTCACTCTCCCACTCTCCTCCCAGTGAAGATCAATGAGGAAGACGGATGTATTATTCAGCACATTAATTTAGAGGTGGGGGGTGTTTTTCTGTATTAGTGCTCTGGCAGGATTATTAGGATTGCTCCGAAAGATGATGAAGTTACAAGCAAAGAGAGGAAAAAGTACAGGGGAAGGGAAACAGTTTACAGAAAGTGGACTTGACAGATTCCTTGTGCAAGGTGGACGGAGCTGAAACACCTCTGGTGGCTCAGAGATGTTCTGGGAAGCTGTGTTATGGTGCTAATGGGCTTCAAGAGGCAGAACATGTCAAGGCTTGTGCTTTAGTGTGACCACTGGGCTCTCACGCTGCTGAATGCTGATTAGTGATGGGAGGGCTGAGGCAAGATCACGGAGGATGAGACAGAAGTTGCGTGCGGGTGGCATACCTGTACAATGTACACTAAAACACACACACACAGAGAGACAGTGTGAGTGCGAGCAATATGGCAAACACTGCTTATCGGTGGATCTGCAGTGCTCTCGCTTCACCTCTTGTCCTCCATAAAGAAGAGGCATTGGATTGTAAAGTGGTGGGGTTATTTCTGTCAAGGGCTGACTCTAAGCATTAACTGTCTCCTGTCGCTGGCACTTATGACGAGCAGAAATCCTCCATTTTTCACGGGCCAGCCTGCACTGAAACGTTTAGCCATTCAGTCTAGGCTTGCACAGGAAAAGTACGTTTAATGAGACATGCCATGCCATCTCCATCTTGTAACTCCCAATTGAGGAGACAATGAAATTTCATTGGCCCGTACAGTGTAATCCCCGACTTCCTTAATGTAATTGGAAAGTCCCCTTCAGACTGTCCCTTTATTACTCAAAGCAGCTGGATGGAGGTTTTTTTTGTATTGGTGCAGTTATTGGTCTCCAACAGGTTCAGGATGTGGACCATTTATTGTGGAAAACCTATAAAGTTTCTTTACGACGGAGCCAGGTAGTCTTACATGTGTTCAGAGGCTGTAGCCCTTGGTTTTATCAGCATTGTAACACTTGTATGGATATATTAACGGCTGCTCCAGGCCGGCTACTAGTACTGTGGGATTAAATGGTTCTCGTGGGTCAAGTCCACCAGGTATTGTCTGCATTAATTAAGTTGTGTCCTTGTGCTTCAGCATACTGTAAGTCACAATATCCTGAGATGATTACCTAACAAATCAAGTTTCCAGACTGCAGCGGAGTGGAAGACAAAGAGATTAAGACCAGTCTGCCTATCTCATTATGTCTTCTGCCAAATGAAAACTTTTATTTCTTCCCTCCACAATTTTCCACTCTTTCAACCCCCCACTTTCCTCTGCCGCTCCAGCTGTTGCAGTGGCTCGACCAGTTATTAACACATAATTACAATCAATTTAGGAAGCATCACTGAGAGGACCAGTGCTGTTAGAAGCTCATTTTCTACCAAATTAACTTGTGCTCAGAGCAACACAAGTACATTTGAGGAAAAAGGCCTCAGAAATGTGTCTGTATTGTATTGTTTCTGTAAGTAAAAATGGTAATGATGATGGGTTTGTTTTGTCAGAACACGCAGAGATGCAATGTTGGGAGTTGATTAATTGGGGCACCATTAATTGAAATGTTGGTTGGTTTCTGTAAAAATAGCTGTGTAGCGCTCTGATAGCCATAGTTAGTCTCTTGGGCTGTGTTTAAATGGCACACAGAAAATGTCATGTGTATAAATCTATTGCTGCTTCCAGATAATGAAGTGACTGAAAAATGGACAGAATATACAAAAAGCAGCCGGATTTACAGCTTACATATGGAAATATTTAGATTTACAACCATTTATAGCAATGTATTTTCCCCAACACATCTTTATGCTAATTACCATTATCGGACTTAATTCAGCTGACTACTCACACACATCTTTTATTGTTTAGTGAGAGTGTACCTTATATACCTGAACATGGCTGTCCTCCCCCTCTCAAGCTCCACTCCTCCTATGTACCTTTAATGTGTCATAGTGAATTGAGAACAGCAGGGTGGGAGGTAGGCTGCACACTAGGAACCCACAAGGTATGCCAAGATCAAGCAACAGGGAGAAAGGAGACATTCCTCTGCATACATGAATATCATTGCAGCGAGAGAGGAAGAAGAACAAAGAACACTGAAGTTAATGACTTCTCTCTATCTTTAAGTGTGCTGCTGCGTTTTCTCTGTCCAGGTTCAAAACAAGAAAAACAAGTAGCTGGGGCAGGAGTAGTAGAGAAAAAGGGCGCTATTAGAAACATGTTTTTTTCTTTACTTGTTATGTCCACTCTGATAATAAATCAAATTTGCAGTACTTTTTAACTCTGTTTCTTTTAGATCATTGTTTTAGTTTTTCAGCCTGCAACTTTACTGTTTTGGTTCACTATGACTATGAATTGCATTGTCTTGGCCACAGCAGACACCTGTTTTCAGTCTACAAGAGCGGTAGTGTCTATAATTTAAATTCCTGGATGTTACATTTTTATCTGCAATTTTTTATAGTGGTCCCAGTAATACAGTATTTGTCCTTAAGGTGTACTGAAGCAGGACACATAACATAGTTGAGCTCAGTTTGAGTTAAAAAGATTTCAGTTGCAAGAACAATACTTATTATAAAGATGAGCTCTATGTGTGATTAGAAAAGAGCAGAAGAGCAGAATAACATATGAACTGGTGCACTTCTAATATGGACAACCAGGCATGTTCATTTTCAGAGAGCAACAGCCAATGGGGTAACCCAAAACACTCTACTGACCAATGGTGTAACTTCTTCACTCACTCTGCTGGATGTGTAAAACTGTTAACCATATCAATTTAAGAGGTGATGATTTGAAAGCGTTATGTTTAAAGGAAAAATATGGTGTGGTCTTATGTTGCTAAATATCATTAATCAGGAATGTTACGGAGCTTTGTAAATTTATTTTACTCTGTGTACTTAACCTCCCAGAGACTATACCTGAACATGTTGCCTACAGGCAGAGGTGGGAACCAGGGACATGTATTATATTCAGTTATGTGTATATGTGTCAGTGGATTTGTGTGTCAGTGCCATCAGCATGCTAACATGCTTACAAGGGCAATGCAATCATCTTTAGCAGATAGATGTACCATCTAGTGTGTAAACATGCTAACATTTGCTAATGAGCACTAAAGTACAGCTGAGTATGATGGGATTGTCATTAGTTTTGCAGATATTNNAAGTATTAGTCTAATTAAGATTTTGACCTGGATCAGTAGGATTCATCCTCCGGGGATCATAAATGTCCAACATTTCAATTTCAGAATTTCTCTTTCTGCTGTCTCCTGGCTAATATTGAAGCTTTCATTAGTTATTATCCCAGCTGCCATCACAAAGGAGAAAATTATCACTAGACACTGCACTGCTAGAAGACTGATAAATTATCACTATGCTGAATAATGATGACATTTGAATCATAAATTAGATCAAATTGAAATTATAATCTTTCTCAAAATGATTTTCAGTAAAATCATTTTCCTGACTTTATTCTTTCTTAATTCTGCACATGCTCTTCCTTTGTATCATTGCTATGGTCAAGGTTCCATTGTGCGAGGCACTCCCAGCAGTTCCCAAGGAGCTGATCTGTAACCCAGATGAGATTGTGTGTGAATGCACAATTTATGCATGCAACGCGTTGGTGAAGAAGAACACACATGTTCAACAAACCTGGACAAATAAAGGTCAAAGGAATAATCATCATCATTGCCACCAACATCACAGCATTTAATATTTCCCTGCTCCCCTCTCTGCCTTTCTGCCAAACACCCAGAACAGGCTAATTAAATCTTCTGTCAGGCATGGAAATCACTCTGCTTTCATCCTTCCTCCATTCAAGTCAGTCACATCAGGGACATGCATAATGACACGTGTTTTAGGGGCTATAATTCCCTTGTGCATGTTAGACATTTCTTTCCGATCGCCCCCGCCTGCATGCTAATCACTAATTGTCCTTGTCCAGCTCCTTGTTTTAGAATGTGTCAAGGTGGATGGGTGGCAGCTTTATAGAAGCTGGAGAGTCAGTTTGAGAGGGTATGCAGATCAAACAGCACCACAAAGACTGTTGCAGTTTGTGGGGAACACACACACACACACTCCCTCAGGGCTAACATACTGTAGGGCTTTAAACTTATCTATCACACGTCCAGGAATGCACACTTTCACAGGAGTCTCTGCAGGAGCAGAGCGAGATAATGTTGATCTGAGTGAAAAGTCAGTCAAAGCACTGACACAACATTTAGCCTAACTTTTTCACAACTAGAGAATCAAATATGCTAGCTAGTTGTAAGAATTTAACAGTATGGACAAATTTAAGCTGCCGTAGCTCATTAGAAAAGTTGAGAATGAATCTGTTGAGTGTGTGTGTAACAGTATTTCCTGCCTCTGTTTTGCCCCTCTTGCTTCCAGCGTGTGTGTGTGATTAAGCAAAGATGTAATGAATAGGGACAGTGCCCTGTTGTTTGGCCATGGAGTCCTGTTTTCCAGCTGAGAGAACCATTAACCTGTTAGGAGGATTGACTGTGCAGATCACACAATCTGATGCGACCAAAACACAGACTTTTGGCTTTGGGGAAGTGTTTTCAAATGTAGCAATGAATCACAACTCTCTGACAGAGTAAACATGTACACATTGGTTTGTGGCTACATGGAAGCTTTCCACAGAAGAAAAATATGCTCTCTGTTATGAACATGTGCAACTGTATGAGTGTCAATCAGGGTGGTGTTACTTTCAGTAAATAACTGGGGCTGGAATGACAATGTTCTTTGTTTGTGTTCCTCAGACCAGTGCGGTGCTCTGTTCAGGAGGCTGTGCTCTGCTGGCTGTCAGCTCCCTGTTAGCCATCATCACCATCTTCCTGCCCAGTGGAGGATGTGAGAGGAGGATCTGCACCCTGGCTGGATACATGCAGATGGCTTCAGGTCGGTACGGATGTGAATACACACATAGAGATAGAAGCACACTCATGCTAGATACAACACATCCTTCTCACAAATAACCTACGATGTTCCCGCATCTGTGTAAAATCCATCATTCAAATAGACATCCTTCACTATCCCATCTTTCACCATTAGAGCCACTCTGCAACAAGCATTGATAGCACTGCCTATTACCAGATCTGTAAAAAAGGAGCTGACTTTGTTGCCCATCAGTCACAAAAACAAAAAAAAAAAACCCAAAAGAAACAACTCGAGGACAGCTGCTGCTAGGCAACCAGAGTCTGCATGGCACATTCTGGTAGGGGTGAACCGGCAAAGGGAAGGCGAGGATAGATTTAGAGCCCGCTGTAAAAAGACAATTATGCCTCCTTAACACAGGTCATTGGTTCAGGGCTACATGTGACTTATCAGGCCGCCGCTTTCACTCAAACAGAGAACTAGTCTCGTAAACAAAGCGCGGTGGTGTCAGCGCTCGGGCTTTAAAAACCCATAACACAGCACGGCTCATGTCACCGCTCAGTACCGGCCTTCACACTCTTGCCTTGTGCATCGGACCATTTTAATGGCAGTTGGTACAAATGTTTTTCTGCTGTTGTATGAGAAGATATGCTTCCTGTGTGTTTTAGTTAGCAACATTTTTTCTTATATGTGTTGCACCTTCACATTTACCACGGTAATAGCTCCTACTGCCTATTTGCACTATTTAAGATAAAATAATGTGTCATAATGTAGCATACACTCTGTTTTTGTTGTTCCAAGTATGAATCAATCAATCAGTCAATATTTGGGTGGACTTTGTGCAAAGTGCAAAGTGGTAATGCTAACATAGCAAAGTAAGATGTGGAACATGGTAAACATAAAGCTGCTAAACATGAGCCTTTTAGCATTGTCATTGCCTCACAGTGTAACCGTAGACTCTTGTTTCTCTGCATTCCTGCCTTTTCTGAAGCTCTTCTAGCACCTCTGATGCCATTTTGATTTACCGAAGTCACTTCAGCTACTGCCTCTGTTCTTCAGGTCGACTGATTCGCAAACCCTTAATCGTTATTTTTCTCCTCTCTCATTTATTTGGCGTCAGCAGCAATTACATAGCCTTTATCCTTGAGAATATTGAGTGGCTAATTTAAGTCCCTGCATGTGGCATTTAACTAAGCGTAATTAGTGGCTGGATTCATGGACTTTCACAGGGCATGGTTAATGGTGTGTTTAAAGTGGCGCTTATTGCTTATAGCCAGACTCTCATACTTCTCTGTCTGACTCCAGAATCAGATCAATGTCGCTTTGGGGGAGAAGAAGTCTGTGGCAAAGCAAGAGCACTGATCCTCTTTGAATGTGTGTGCGCGCATCTGTGTGTAATGCCGCACTGTGCAATGGAGCTGTGCCTTACGTGGCGACAGACTTTGCTAAATGACAATGAGAAGCGAGGAACCGGGTCTTTGTTCCGTTTCCAGGTCGACTCTTGTCTAGATAGACGGAGGTTTCACAGAGAGCCCACAAAGCCCCGAGGAGGGCAGATCAGAAGAGTGTTTGTTTTCCCAGCGTTGCAAGTATGTCTGTTTGGGAGTGTGTGTGTGTATGTTTGTGTGCTACCAAAGAGAGCTGATAAACTGAAACAAGTAGATTAAGAACAATAGTTTTCTTTGTGGTGTGCACATTATCAGTGTTGCTTTTGAGGGTGTGTGTTTTCTTGCACACTGGGAGAAATGAACTGCTGACGAAACGCTGCTTGTCAACTTTCCCTTTGCAGATAGTGATGCTTTTTTTGATCCCCATGTTTTCTACAATATCTCTGACAGGCAAAGGAGATGTTTTGTGTTTGTGTTTGTGTGTGTGAGAGTGTGTGTGTGTGAGGGTGTGTTACTCCATTGATGGCAGCTGAAAATCATTATGAGGATAAAAGTAAAAAGAGAAATCCTACAAAGCGAGCACATTTTGCTGATCATTACTCAGTTTATGGTTTGGGGGTTACATTTATGATAAAGGTAAGGGTTTAAGTCAGTTTGAAGCAGTGTTTGAGAGGTCCTTGCTTCATTTGCAGCATTTCCTGTTATAACAGATTAACTTAGATTTAAGCAAGACATAATGCAATAATTAATGAATGACTTAGGAAGGGCAGGTTTATTTGATGGGCAGAGTACTTGGACCAGAATGTCACAGTTTTATTAGGTAGAATGTTTATTTGCATTCAGTGCTTTTGTGAAACATAAAGTTTTATTTTATTAGACATAATGTTTAATTACAGTTCAGCATGTCGTGGATGTGTGGTTTAGGTCAAAGTTAGTTGGCTGGCACATGCTACATTACATCCTGTAGGATTCACTGTTTACTGTTTAAAGATATCAGACATGTCTTATGACATATACAAATACTTTGCTTTGAATAATATTTTTTCACAAAAAGTCACAATTTAACAAAAAAAAAGTTCTGGTAACTCCAAATTACATTTACATTACAAAAATCAAGAATATCATATTGTTTATTTCAAGAGTTTGAAGATGTCCCCTAAGTGTGAATTATGAAATGCGCAGCAAACTGTGTACGTTGTGTATTAGACCATGATTGGCCTCCAAAGTAGTTGTGAGGTCACACAATCACATAGTGATAAGAGAGGGGAACTTTAGAATTGTGTGTGTGTGTGTGTGTGTGCAAAATGTTGCAGAACATTTCCAAAATGTTGCAAGTTTACCTCATACAAACTCTGACTCTGATTGGCATGTTAGCATGCTGATGTTAGCATTTAGCTTAAAGCACCACTGTGCCCAAGTACAGTCTTCATTCACTCATTCAATGACTATTTAATATTCACAGAAAAATCATTGGGGGTGACACTCATTTACAATGATGCCGAGATTACATCATGGAAAATACAAGTATACACATATACAAAAGTCTAATTAAGGGCACAGGTGACAGCACCTTTTCCTAATATAGCGGCTTTCTATAACTGCACTTTTCAAGTACTTGATCTACAGTTCCTTTCTACCAAAAGTGGACATTGTTCAGACTGACAAACATAAACAAAAGCAGTCTGCACTCCTTACCAAGCTGCATGATAGCATCAGTCATCATTCTCTGCTCTAAACTGTGGTCATATACAGCCCACATCCAAAACACTTGCTGTTTCCATTTACAGCAACATCTGCTGTATCACTGCTACTATCACACAGGTAGAAGGTAGGAGGCACAACCAAGACTGTGTGTATGTTCTCACAGAAGTAGAAGCACCTTATGACCTTACATGTCAACTAGTCTGTCATGTCTTGCTCTATAAACACACACTTGCACACACACAGCTGAGGGCTGGGTTATACCAGGAAAAACCTTTTTTCGAGGTAAAGCTGCCCAGCTCTTTCTCAGCCCCGTGGTCCCGTGGGTGAAGTCCAGAATTAGATGTGAACTTGCTAACCTACCGCTGGTGAAGCTCAGCGCTCCATCCAGTGGTTCAGCTGCTGCGCCACCAAGCACCGCCACCATCAATGTTTTACGCTCTGAGAGAGAGGGAGCAGTACATTTCTGTGTGCTAAAGCGGGGAGCTTTTTCTCTTCTCATGCATATTTCATCGACATGTTCTTCTTAGTGGTCAGGATCCATTGGATTGGACGGCTCTTTGGTCAGGCTGTGTGTGTGGAGAGAATGAACAGACAGGGAGACATGCACAATCTAATTCTTTGCTGGCTAAACAAATACAAGCATTGATGCACTGTAATTCAATGCACATTAAAGACACACAAACTTAACATTTTATATCAATTTTTGCATCCAGGGAGCTCAATTTTGAGTAGCAGTGACTTTAAACTTCATTCTTGCCTCCCGGTTATTTCAGTTCATTTTACTCAGATCCACCCGCTGGCAGAAGCGGCTGAACACTGCGTTGGGGTTTCGTTGTGGTACAACGCTCAGGCAGATTCTCGCGGTGCAGTTTATCTGTTCAGGGCTGAAGACATGTCACACTTGGCTGAGTGTACAAGCACTCGCTGCACATACAAGCTTAATCTCAGCTGTTTTCCTGCAGGGTTATAGCCATATTAACATATGGAGATAATTTACATTACGTGCGTACATAAAAATGTGTGGATTTTATTTGCTGCATTGATTGCCTGTTGTTTTCTCTTTTTATTGATTTGACTGCGAGTAGTATTCCAGTTAAAAAAAAAGTTAGTAAAAATGGTTCTGTGGGAGCTGCTTGTGTTGAGGACTTGAAAGGGATATGCCTGGAGCTGTGTTTTTCTGCTCTTGAAAGAAATATGAACCACAATGTTTTTGTCTCACCTGTACAGCCGGAGATGTTTGTGTTGCTTGTGGTTTTTCATTGTTACATGGAGAGAAAAAAAGAAGAGAAATGGCGATAAACAAGGTAAATCTGGCTTTACTTTGAGCGTTGAATTTGGCAGCACTGTTTTACTATTACTTTAAAACCCAAATTGTCCACATGAGGGATCCTGTAATTTAAGAAATACTTTATGTGCTGCAGCATGAAAATGTTTGTTTTTCCCAAAACGTCAAGATCCTTCTGAAATCCTTTTACTCCAAACACACACTGAGTAAAGAAATCAACAGTTTCCCAAGCAGAAAGCTGAAAGCTAACAAAGTTAAGTTAACAGAAGAATTATCTTTTTTAAATTATGTTTCACTTTAGATAGAGGTTGAGACCTTAAGTAGTACAGTGCCTAACTTTACTTTGTACATGTAGATTTGATGTATAAAGCCTGGCATGTTATTTTACCATTATGTAGACATCAACATATATTCTTTGCTAATTTGGGAAAGCTACCACTTGTTTTAGTATTTGTAATTATTTACAGCATTAGTTCTCAACGTTTTTGAACCTTTAAAATAAAGCAAACGCAGGCATTTCTATGAGCTGAGCACTTCAAGAAAAGAGCATCTGTTTTGTATGTGTGTGTTAGAACACTAACAGCATCTGTTAGCATGCTAATATTTACTAATTAGGAATAAACTAAGACCGTGAACATGGTAAACAG